GGGACAGGGCCTCACCGCCAGCGTCGCGCGGGGCCCTCCAGGCCCAGCTAATCGAGCAGCCGGCCGCTCGGGAATCGCTCCGTCCCCGAGGGGCCGTTGCCTAGCAACCGGGAGGCTCCGCAGCCTAGCCCCCTGCCGGCAAGGTAAGACGCCCGCCCTGACAGAGAGGCACGACACCGGAAGTTCCGCTTACGTAGCGGAGCAGGCGGGTTTTTGAACGCCCGCGGAAGTGCGGCCAGCCCAACCGGATTGCCATGGCGGCGCCCAGCAAGCTGTGGGGTGTTCGCAGCCCCGCCCCTCCCCTCGCTGGCCTGACGGAGCATGGGGCGCTGCCCGCTGTGTGATGTCACACCCCCCTCTCCCGCCACTCGCTGCATGACGTCACATCTGGGGTGAGGAGGCCACAGCCCACGGCATCGACAGGCCCCCCCGCCCCCGGCAGAAGGGAGGCCTCGGACTCTGCCAAGTGCTGTCCCACGATGGGAAGGACAAGGGCGCGGGTGCGGGTGGCGCAGCCTCACCCCTTGGCTGGAAGTAGCAATAAACCCAAATCCACGGTGTCTGCCTTCAGCACCCCTGCCACAAAAATGGTTTCCGCCCCCCTGGGCACAGGGGTGAGCCGTCACGCAGGGATGCTGCAGCTACACGTACAGGCTGACTTCACTTGCGGCTGGCCCACACATTCGAATGGAGAAATTGGACAGAGACTGCATCCAGCGGGCAGAGTGGTAGCCAGGAGTACATGTGTAAAGAAGTGAGAAATGTAGCCGTGTTAGTCTAGTGTAGCTGAAACAAAATACAGGACAATGTAGCACTTTAAAGACTAACAAGATGGTTTATTAGGGGATGAGCTTTCGTGGGCCAGACCCACTTCCTCAGATCAAATAGTGGAAGAAAATTGTCACAACCATATATACCAAAGGATACAATTAAAAAGAAGAGTTTCCTGAAAGAAGAATGAGGGTTTTTTGTCTTGGGAGGAGGCGAGATTAATCACGAGACAGGGTTATGAGATGCTGTAAAGATTACGGCTGACTATTGACATTGGATAAGCCTCTAGCACTGGGACTCTTGTAATAACCCGCTTTCAGATGTCTCAAGCTGATTTTTGAGCCAGGGCACCCTGACCCCTGGTGAACTGCTTAACACTGACTCCATTTGTGTGATTTCTTTTTATGGAACATAATAGCTGCTGAGAGGTTAAACCAAGACAAGCCCAGAAAATGACTGGTGCTGCCCTTATATAGTTGATGTAGGCAGTGCTGAGATTGCAGCTCCCACCTGTGTTTTCAGCCTTTGAACTAAGAATCTGAGATAATTAAATTTTATTTCTAGGACTTGAAAGTCATTGGTCCCCCTGGAGAAAAAGCAGAATCCAGGCTAGTGCAGAACATTTTGCCCATGAAGTTTAATGTAAGAAGGAAGCCCTATTTTTAAGAGGAAAAATGCTTCTCTACCCTGGTCTACACTAGAGCTTTATTTCAAAATAGTCACCCCCACCCTTAGATCAAATGAATAAGCGGAGCATTAACACTACCAAACATTTCAAAATCTATACTCTTGCTTTCCTTGGGGAATAATGCTAATTTTGAAATAGTTATTTTGAAATATCAGTAGTGTGGAATTATTTCGAAATAAACACTCCCTAGAGTAATTCAAACTAATTATTCCCCAGTGCTTCCTGGGGCTCTAAGTTGAGGTAGCGCTTCCACATTAATGGAGCCTGCCTCGACTAATTTCAAGGCTTTCCAGTAGTGAGGAAATTTTAGTTTTTTGGAAATAATTTCCTAGTATAGACATGTCCTCTGTATGTGAATAGTCTTTTTGATAGGTCCCAGTTTATTGCCCAGACTATACAAGGATTCAGCTGTATTATACAGAGCTAGCGCTTGGGTGCAGTTCATTGGCACTGGAAATATTTTTGGGGTGGAGGTGCTGAGTTGCACCCCTCCCCCGCTTTAGACCTACTGAGATTGGTTTGCCAACTCTCTCGGACCAGATTCTATTGCTGCAAATGATGTCCAGTGTGTCTAGACCGGGACAGTTGGCAACTCTCACTGCTCCAGGCTGGGGCCACAGCTGGGTGCAGCTGCAGACCCCTGGGCTGGTGGTGGGACCATAGGATTGACAGGACCTGCAGGCTGTGGAGCCTTTTGCAGGGCCAGCAGGCAGCAGGACCCCAAGGGCCAGTGGAGCCAATAGGGCTGGTGGGTGACAAGTTCCTGAGGCCTGGAAGGGCCAGCAGGACCCTGTGAAGGACACCCGGAGGTGCGGGAAACATGGGTGGAAAACCTGGGTGTGCTGCAGCACTTCCCACTCTTCTGTTTCCTGCAATTATGGTGCACCTCTACAATGAATAGGGACCACTGGGACAGGGAGGTTCATTAATAAGACAAGTCATACCATGGATGCAAAACGCAGCAATTACAAAACCAAACCACCAGGGAAATCTCTCCAGATTGAGGCACAAAGTGGCCATCAGTTCAGGGGGAATTGTGATCAGGTCTTGAAAATTTTGGGCGATGTTGGGGGTAATAGCAGGGCTATACAATTAGACTTGTTCCCTCTGCGTCCCTGAACAGTAGAAAGTGGATAAAACCAGTAGAAAGGGAGAATAAATCCAAGAAAATCCCCTAAATCCCAAAGCTGTATGTAGGATTCTTATTAATGATCCAGTGCAGTTCATTGTAATAGGAGATGAATACAAAAACATGTTTGGGTCTCAGATTCTCAAAGATTCCCATTCAGTTCTCGTCTGATCATTAGGTACTGCTATGGATCCAGAAAACTAAAGTAACCTGGAAATGCTGAGACTAGGGACGTAAGCAATTAGCCTTTGTATCTATAAGAGGCAGCAGGATGGGGGAGGGGGTAGGAGAGGCTGGCATGAAGCAGCCTCTGTTCGTAGTGGCCTGGGCTGGCCACAGGCAGAGGCTGCTCTGTCTGTGGGGGGTCCCAGCAGGGAGCTGGGACCCCCCCACCCCCCGATGTAGAGGGGGGACTGAATTAGCTATTAGCACTTGAGAGAGAACTTGCTGTCCCTGTGGCCAGTTTTCTAAAAACATCCACACAATGTGCAGCAACAGTGAAAAAAGTAAATAAAATGTTAGGAGTAATTAAGAAAGGGATAGCGAATAAAACAGAGAATACCTCTTTGTAAGTTCATGGTGCGCCCACATCTTGAATACTGTGTGCAGATGTGATTACCTCATCTCAAAAAAGATAGTATTGGAAAAAGTTCAGAAAAGGGCAACAAAAATGATTAGGGGTTTAGAATGGCTGCCATATGAAGAAAGATTAAAAATACTGGGACTTTTCAGCTTAGGAAAGAGGAGCCTAAAGGGGAATAGGATAGAGGGCTTTATTTCGAAATCACAACTGGTATGGAGAAAGTGAATATAGAAAATTTAGAAGGAGAATATTTACGTGTTCCCTTAACAAGAACTAAGGGTCACCAAATGAAATTAATAGGTAGCAAGTTTAAAACAAACAAAAGGAAGTATTTCTTCACGCAATTCACAGTCAACTTGTGGAACTCCTTGCCAGAGGATGTTGTGAAGACCAGGACTTTAACATGGTTCAAAAAAGAGCTAGATAAATTAACTGAGAATAGGTCCATCAATGGTTATTAGCTAGGATGGGCAGGAATGGTGTTCCTCCCCTCTCTTTGTCAGAGGCTGGGAACAGGTGATAGGGGTGGGATCATTGGTGATTCCCTGTTCTGTTCATTCCCTCTAGGACACTTGACACTGGCCACTATGGGCAGACAGGACACTGAGCTAGATGGACCTTTGGTCTGATCCAGTGTGGCCGTTCTTCTATTCTTAAGAAACATTTTCCTAAGCAAATAACCTTTTGGCTTCTGCAGGATCAGTGAGCTATATCTTCACTGGCTGCCCTGTGCCTCTGCAGTCACCAAGTCACCAAAGTGTTGTCTCTGCTGTACACGCATGGAGTTAAACCCCGGCAGGTAAGATACGACCTGGGGGCCAGATTTGGCCCACCATGCCTTTCAATACCATAGGCAAGGAGTAGCCAAAGGGCTCGGAAATGCTGGCTGCTCCATCTTCCTCTCTGCGCTGGGGAGCGTGCGGTGGGTGGAGGAAGTGGGATGCTTAGCACACTGCGAACCCCCCTCCTTCACCCAAACTCTATCTCAGACCCCACACTCTCCAGCACCCCAATCCCCTCCCTGAGATCCCTTCTGCACTCAACCTCTGTCCAGACTCTGCAGCCCCTCCATAGAAAAGTGTGGCCGTGGACCACTGACCAAAATTTTGGAGTGCCCCCCCATCAAAAATTAGTGCCCACCCCTGAATTAAATCAAGGATGAATTTAACTCACTGGGTAAGGGGAGCAGGATCTTCCCATGCAAATATGCCAATGCATTAGAGGTAGCTTCCTAAATTCTCCCTGGGAATTTACATCTGTCTAAGACCAGGTTTAAACTAGTTAAAGCTCTAAGAGCCTGAGAATTTTCTTCGTGTTCCTAACATGGTGACAGTGTTAGTTGAAACCTCTCCTGTGCCTACTTGGGCACACTTTGTACTACTGTTCTGCAGAAAGCTCTTTAGGTAGGCTCGCTAATGAATGGCCTATTAAGTTACAATAGTTGGATTCAATTCACCATAGAAACTCAGGTAGTTGTCACCAGCCTGTAACTGATCCAAAAGCTTTGAAACTGCTGTGATGGTCTTGTCTAGTAATTTTCCTTGTTCCAATCTGCTCCTGGCTAGACCCTGTGAAGAAGAGGTAAGCCTTGCATGGGCTGCTTTCACACTGAGAATAACATGATTTTTCTAGTCAGAGAGAATAGCTTCAGAAAGCCAGAAAGTAAATTTTAGGGCAATGGAAAGCCAATTCCCTGGTAAATTAGTGACAAGAAAATTGCCATAGTCAAACTAGAGGAGACAGAAAATGCAGCCAAAATATTAGTTTTAGGGCATCACTTATCCCAAAGTGTGGAGTAATGTCAAGTGTAGAATCCTATAGGCAACAAAGCAGTCCACAGTCACTCTCTTCCTGTAATACCCTGGGAGGAGGACAAAGCTAAGGAACCACAGGGGTACAACCAACCAGCAAGTTTTGTGCATTCATTTAAGTACAAGGTGTTCTGGATGTATGGCTTTGTTTGTGATGTTACATGTCTATACAATTTAGGCATGGTCCTCTCTCCCCTGAAGAATTATTAATGGCTCCCTTGGTTAGGCAGGGTTTGGGAGTTCTGGTTTAAGTCTAATTTAGGTTGTAAGATTCTTGGAGCAAGGACACTAATTTTATTTGTCTGCAAAGTGCTGTGCGCAGCTATAGAGCTGGCTAAATGAATAGGAATAATTGTAGGAATACCACAGAACCATCAAAGACTGTGCTGGCATGGATGCAGCAGCTGGGTATTATTTTAGGGTGTGCCCTTTCAGAATCTCAGATAAAAATTCACCTGCTAAATACAATAATATTAGGATGAGTCTGAATCTGAAGTACATAAAGAAAATTTTAATCCACAGGTTATGCAGAGCAGTCACGGCATATCAGGCTGTGTCTCATCCAGAAATTGGGATGATGGTCTATAGAAAATAAAGCGAGTCTTTTCTTTTCTAATTCAGAGTTTTAGCCTTTGGCTGGGAGATCTCTGACCATTACTAATTCCCGTACAAGTTCTGTTTGCAGACCAAAGGATGGAGCTCACTGTCAAGCCTGGCGCTTCAAATTACCCAGTTACATTGATATTTTATTGGCAAAGGAGACAGAGGTTTTTGACTTGCTAAAACAGAAAATGCATCACAGGCTAATTGATTTTCATACTGAGTGGGTTTAATATCTAAAGGAAATCTCTCCTGGAATTCCTGTTTTTATTTGTGTCACCACCAGAGGGCAATGAATACACCAGCTAGTGCTCCAAATGAAGACTGTTTTAGTTTCAGGTGGTAAAAAAGAATGTTCTGCTAGTTATGGACTTTTAAAGAAAGGGGGTCTTACGAATTAAAGAGGGTTTCCTTTTGCAATCTCGCTGTGATCTAGCCTGCAGGTGTCTGCTCATGACAACACTATTTGGTTTTGTTTGCATAAGACCTGTCACCAGATGCTATGTTCTTCATAGTCTTAATATGATCATGATACCAGTGAGGGTTTCCTAGCTCCTCCCTAATCTATAGCACCATTGCCATGTTAACTAAGCATGTTGCAGATGTCTGACAAACACTGGATTTCTCTGATCACAAGAGGGAGCAATTCTGTGCTAGCAACCTTACCTTTATTTTTGCTCTTGTCTGCTTTTGGTGCTGCTGAAAGTGAGGTGCTAGAAGAGCTAATCTTACTGAGGAGAGATGCTGTGCAAATTCCTGCCCACAACTCTGCCAGTACATCTCAGTCCTGACTTGGACTGCCACCTGCTACTTCAGCCATTGGGTCCCCCCAGCTCTGCAGTGCACTTCAGTGCTAACCTGCGGCCACCACTACTAATCCAGTCATGAGGCCTCACAACTCTTCTAATTCACCTCAGTCCAGAATCATAGCACTTGTGACCACTGGAGATTTGCTCAAGAGCTCCCAGTGAGTTCTTCCGATGCACATCAATTCTACTCTATAGCACCTTATTTTATTCTAGTTCTGGACTCCCTTGTGTCCATTCAGCTCCGCCAGGATGCTGGGATGCAACATGCTTTGCTATTTCAGCCTTAGGTTTCTCAGAGCAAAGATTGTCAGTCAGTTGGCTGATTTGTGCTAAAATGGAGTACTTTGTGGGGTGAGCAAATGCCAGTCTGGAGCTACGCTCAGACACTGGACCTTCCCATAGCTCAGCATTTCTATCATGACCCAGATCGCTTATCAGCTTCCTCCATTCCCTGATCAAGAAAAATTATATTTGCACCTGGGAATATGACAGCTAGTGCAGGAATCAGCCGCAAACTGGGCAGGATTATGGATGGGGAGAATAATGAGCACAGTAGGGACACTCAGATAGAAGAGCAGAAATTTGCACTGGCCAGTTAGCTGAGTGAGCAGTCAGTCACCAGTCTTTGTTGTTAAATGCTGCCTTGTCCTACTCTAGACACCCTTCAGCAGTGAGAATATGTAGTGTAGAAAAAAGAGTGTAGTCAGGAGATAAACACACACAATCCAGGCTCCAGGAGTTAAAGCTGCTGTTTGCTGTTGATTTTCTGTGCCTGGCCAGAGACTGAAGCTGCATTAAAATGGATTAGGGGCACATATGCAGGGTTGTTCTTGCTGTGGAGGTCCCAGGATATTAGAGAGATAAGGTGGGTGAGGGTGTATCTTTTATTGGACTTCTGTTTGTGAGAGAGACCAGCTTCCAAGCTACTCAGAGCTCTTCAGGTCTGGGAAATGTATTCAGCATGTCTCGGGTAAATGCAAGGGGTGCGTATCACAGAAACCGGGAAGGAGCAGAGGCATCAGCACAGAATGAACAGGAACTCCAGTCATTAGCTAGAAATAAGTGAGACATCTCAGACTAGGCAAAAGGACTAGCTCATGGAATGCCAGGAGGAGTTAGTCCTGAGGTGACATTATGATGTGGCTTATGAAGAGGTGGTATCTTAGTGGGCTGCTGCACAGCTGTATCTTTTACTGGCCACAAGATAATGAGAATTTCAGTTCAGACCTGTACACAACTGGTGAAACATAGCAGATGTGTGGGTATCTTAGGGTACGTCTTGACTGGTTTTTTTCCGGGGTATCCTGGAAAAACCCCACTGAGACCAGGGAACGTGTTTGCTCTTCCACTTTTTTTTGCAGAAGAGCAAACGCGCTCTTTCAGGGAGCCCTGTATACCTCATTCTACGAGGACTAAAGGCTCCTCCAAAAGAAGAGGCTTTTCCGCCATTTGGCCCCATCTAGACAGGGCCAAATGGTGGAAAAGCCTCTTCCAGAAAAGCAATCGGAAAAAGCTACAGTTTAGACCTAGCCTTACACTTTCCTCTGAGACACCTGGTGGAGACAGGATAGCGGACTAATTGGACCTCAGTCTGATCCAGTCTGGCAATCCCTGTGTTAGCTAAATTATGCATGAATTTTTCATTATTTCACTCTGAGCAATTTTATGCCTGTGTGTAGACAGCTCTGCTAAGAAATAGGTTGTTTTGTGATATGATAACAGGGCCTATTTTTGCACCTGCAAATACATCAAAAAAAGAATTTTTTTTGGAAAAACATATCTTTTTGAATGCATGCTAAATGAAAAAAGACCCCTTGCTATTCTGAAAAGCTTCTCTTTTGTTATGAATATGTTGTACACTTTATTGAAGTCAGTCACACATCTGAAAAGATCAAACATTATCCTTTTTGATTAAGAATGAAGAAATGCTTACTGTCCCAATGGGGCAAATTTTCAGGAAAGCCTCAAACCATCCCCTAAAAATAGTGGTGCAGGTTTTTTTATTCTTAGGTATTTGCACACACAATTTTGCATGCCCAATATTTGGAGGAGCAAAAAAATCAGGCATTTCTGTTCAAGATATATTTGTGTATTCAAAGTGAGTAGTCAGACATCTATCTACTTGACTTAGATACACTAGTATAACTTGCACATAGACAGCATTTTGCACATGCAAACTATTCCACATGAAAAGTTGTGCATGTATAAACGTGGACCTGTAATGTGTGTGCAGTCTGTATCTGTGCAGCTAAATGTGGCGGGGATGACAGGGTTTGCTGGGAATTCTCTGCGGCTTGGTCTACACTAGGACCTTAGTCTGAAATAATCCCCTCAAGTTTGAATTGGTAAACGATGTGTCCACTCTACCAAGCCTGATATTCCAGAATAAGCGACCGCAGAATTCAAACTTTGTAATCTTGCTTTTTATGAGGAATAATGCTATTCCCAAACCTGTAAATCTCAAATAACTGTAGTGTGGACACTCTGGTGCTGCTAATTTGAGGACATGGAAGTTCAAATTTGCAAAATTGGGTGCCCAGAAATCGAATTTAGTAAATTTGAAATAATCTCCTAGTGTA